TCATACTTTTCTAAAACACAGTTCTCCCAGAAGTAAACGTGAATGCAAAAGTACCATATTTTAAAAAAAGTTACGAAAATGCTACAAAAAATACAGAAGAAAAGATATTAAAATGCACGTACAGGCTTTCCAGATAGTGCTAAAGCTATTTGTTGAATTGGAAGCGAAGGCCGCAGGCTCTCTTTGAATTTTTTGAATACTACAGGAAGAACTGGTTGAATACCATAAGAACCCGTGCACTGAAAAAAACATATGTAATGCACCGCGCTATAATGAAAAGAAAAATCCTGGAAACAATGGATCCCAAAAATGTCAACTCCGCCAAAAGTGACCAAAACGATACGTCTTTGAGGACTGGATTTTTGGAGTCACCTCAGAACTAGTCTTGGACCTAAAATTCCTACCTCACTGAAAGCTTTATGACCAAAACTACACTTCACACATACCTGCAAAAAGTGCAGTACCAGCATGAGCACGTGATAAGTCGAGAATAAACCGTGTTTGCTATCCTTAAGCTTTTTTGATTCCAACCATTTTTGCGCCCACATATTGAGTAAAGCAACCCGCGCATCCTGCTAAAATTTGTTTTTTCAGACAATTAGCGCCCAAAACAAGTATCGTGACGGAATTCCACTAGAAACCAGGCGCAAATTTGTTGGACTGGAAGAGTAGACCGCAGGTTCTCAAACATTGCTGTCTGAGCTGCACTTCATCAAATTTGTAATTGTTATTTTAACATGTAAACGTCCCAATTTTTCGGAATCCATAGAAATGGCCGTTTTCTTGTCTATGGAAGGTGAGCGATACCAGCCACTGTTGGCTCAACCAGCAAGCGGCAATGAACTAATGGTTATGACATAAGGCAAAGCTTTTTTTGGCAATAAACTAACTCCAAGCGCTAAAAGGAGCAGTTTGGCAGTGAGCATGGAAAGGAAAACAGAGGCACTGGAGCTAGTTCTGCCAAGAATGAGGAAAAAGCAGATACCCGGCTTAGAATTAAATTGAGGAGTCAATCCTGGACAACAACTCCCGAAAGGCATATAAAGGAGAGATGCCAAAAGGTGAAATTTGGTTTTGTCTTCGAATCCTTGCCAATTCCTTATGTTTTATGAGTTATAAGACAGCACGGGATGTCTAAAGATGATTCTAAACGTGAACAATGCATGTGTACATTGGCTAAAAATGCATTGGCTAAAACAAAAATGAAACAAACAAGTTAAACTGAGACGCGCAGGTGACCAAAATTATGTGAAAAACACAGTACCTGGACACAGTGACGGACATAATGAGTATTCCTAATTGATGCATATTTCTCGAACTGAATATCAACTTGCATATGATTACGTGTTTGTAGGTGCAGTATCGGCACTCGAGCTGCATGAATGATCTCAGTTTGAGTCCAATCAAACTCCTCACACAAATTCGAGTTCTCGATTCGATTTTTCACTTCGGCCATGAATGTTCTGCAATTTACAAAATAAATGCCCACGTGTAGCATGCGTGCAAGAACTTTTCCCAGTTATTTTTACTTCTCTAAGCATTATAAACACATATTGTGCTCATAAATGCGATTTTATGTTAGCATAAAAAGTAAACGCGGCAAGCCCTCCAAGTTTTACAGTTTTTGCATAGATGAATAATGTGAAAATGCATTACAGCGGGGATTAGGACGTGCACGCATATGTCTATCCTCCACAAAATCCAATTCATCAACAACGAAAGCTAAAAGGAACGGGCAGCTGGAGCAGATAAGAAAAAGAATGGATCAGCGGCACAAAAAAAAAAAAAACAACGTAAAGATAAATCAACAGCTAATCAAAGTAACGAAATATTAAAAATAAAAATTATACCGCCTAAAACTTTCTTTGGTAAGCAGCCGTAACAGTCGTTCGCGCTGTTTCTCATCCGTTGTGGATATGTAGACCAAATCAATATCGGAAGCACCGCCGGCAAGTCCCGAAGCAGTTGATCCCACCGGTACTAGGTATTGCGTACGAGCCTGCGCCAGTATTCGTCGTAAACCGGTTACTATGTGATTTCGATATCGATAGGTCTGGAAAAGATTTGGACAAAGTCCGAAATTAGACAATTCAAATAGAAAATATAAAACTGGTTTTTTTTACTCCTCAAGGTTGCAGTAGAAATGCCAGAATCATTTTAGTACAAAAATAAATCAATAATTTGCAAAGCGAATTGTTCGGCCAACGCTTGCACTCGCAGTAACTGTCCGTCGCTTGAGAGTGATCGCCACTTGTCACTGTACCAATTCAGTCGGAAAATTTACTGCAAACAGAGGTCTTTTTTGCTATGAAACTGCACCTTTAACCACTTTGAGGAAGCCTACTGCGGAAATTCAGGGAGCAACCTGGTTGTAATCATCGTACTGTTGGATGGCTTCTTCCCGAAGTAGCACATTCAGGCGCTGCATCTCATTCTGATACTTCTTGATCATAAATTCGACGAAACCGTCCAGCACTGCAC